CCCCCAACCCCACCTAACTCCGAAACCCTTGACCCCAGAGAGTTTAGGATTGATTATTGTAGGAGCCTGAAAAATTTCCATAGGGTTGGGAATTCCTTATTATAGCTATAGTATAACATACCCCAAACCCTATTCGAATTATTAAGGCCCCTAGATTACTCAATATAGGCGCCAATTGTCCTGTCCGATGACAGATGTCCGGCTCCGAATCCGGATATCCACTTGGAAATCTGTCTCTGGAAACAGCTTTTATTCTACAAGCTCCAGTGCATCGATCTCGGCAAACAGGCAGGGCTAAAGATTGGCATATCATACAGGGATTCACCGTATGGGTATATGGGTAGTGCTAAAAGTATGGTTACCGTTTAGGGTCCTTTTCATAAGGGTGCCGCAACCCCATTTTAGGCAACTACCCATATAAGTTCATTATAAGTAGAGAGCTCCTACGTTGGAGGGTCGTTGGGTCCTTAAGGCTTTTCAACCAACATGTTGACTTCAAGGCCCTGGACCCTGCTGAAACCATACGGCATAGACACACTTAGGGTTCATGTTTTCTAGTGGCCTGAATAGATAGACAAGGGTTTGGGGAATTCTACTCAAACTATGCGAAGGAGCCCTAAAGAGTGGTACTGCAAACTCTACATCATTACGGCACCCTCGGAGGCACCTATAAGGCCCGAACGAATGCCTCACGCCAACTCAAAGCCCAAAGCACCAAGCCCCAAATCCCAACCCTAAACCCAAAAACCCTGCCCCCTACACCCAAAACCCTAAACCCGAAACCATAAACCTTGAACCCTGGACCCCGAACAAAAGTCTCACTCCAGGACCACTGCCTACGGGGGGGAACCTGGAAGAAGTCCCTGTTTCTGTTTTTCATGATTACAAATCGGCTTAGGGTTTAGGGTTTAGGGTTTAGGGTTACGTATCAAGGTTGATCATACGGGTTGCTTTAAGTGCATCAGGGTTGCTAATACTATAAAGGATACTTTAACCAGAACGTTCACCCGAAATCCAGAACACTAAACCCTAAACCCTAGGAACCCTAAACCCTAGGTCCTAGGAAAAACAAAGGGCTGCCTTTCTGGTATTGCCTTCAGATTATGAGGAACCTCTTTTGCTTCTAGGGCTTCAGGTTTAGGGTTTAGGGAATAGGAACCCTAAACCCTAAACCCTAAACCCTAAACCCTAAACCCTAAACCGGAACCTAAGGTCCCCAGCAAGGACAAAGAGGCCATTGACTACTACAAGGGTTACCCTGAGCTACCCAAACCTACTTGTTTGTAGGGCCCCTATAAATTCCATATTAGGGTTCAGAATAAGAACCTGAAAAAAGTAGGTTCCAGAAGCCAGAACCTAGACACTTTAATTCATTTCGATAATAAGAATCCGAAAAAAGTAGGTTCCCCTGACCCTAAACCCTAAACAATTTAATGTAAAATTCCGTATTACGGTTCAGAATAAGAAACTGAAAAAAGGTAGGTTCCCCTAGCCCTAAACTCTAAACACCTAATGTCCTTCCATATTTGGGTTCATAATATGAACCTGAAACAAATAATTTCCCCTAACTCTAAACCCTAAACAATTTAATTTAATTCCATATTAGGGTCCATATTAAGAACCTGAAAAAAGTAGGTTCCCCTAACCCTAAACCCTAAACACTTTCATTTAATCCCACATTAGGGTTCAGAATATGAACCTGAAAAAAGTAGGTTCCCCTAACCCTAAACCCTAAACAATTTAAGGTAGGCCTTGAAGGGCTGAGGGTTCAGGATTTAGGATTTACGGTTCAGGGCTTTAGGGGTCTAATGAGGGTTCCCGCAGTCCTACGAAGACGCCGAAACGCTTGCGTTATACTCCGTGGAGTTAAACATCCCCTACATCCCCGGGCCCTTCCTCAATCCCTGAAGCTCTCTAGCAAAAGGAATCTTACCCTCAAAGCCGTAAACCCATACAGCCTCATACCCTCAACCCTGAAGCCCACAAAATCGTATACTCCATGTACTACTGCCCCTCTTAGAAGCCCACCCAACGCAGTCTATCCTGGACCTCAAGTCAGGCAAAGGCACAAACACCTCACGAAAATGCTAGGGCTGTAGCTGTTCAAGCTCTTGCACGTCGTCTCCTTCAAGGCCTGTGTTCGGGGGTTTAGGGTTTAGGGTATGAAACCCTAAACCCTAAACCATGAGGCTCCATGTAGACATTCTTGATGGAATTAGGTCCCAAAAGACCATACGTAGGACCTAGTTCCATGAGTTTAGGGTTTAGGATTTAGGGATATATAGCCTCTGGTTCTGGTTGGGGTTTCGGGTTTAGGCGGACGAGGATGTTTTTACCCAGAGACTCCAATATTCCTTAATTAAGGAATATTCCTTAAATCATATTAAGGATCCTACTGTAATTTAAGGAATATTCCGTAGTTAAAGAATAATGGAGTCTCTGAATACTTAGTACGCTCATTGTTGTTCTTGCGATGCATTACTGTTAGCATGCACACGCATCAGAGAGAGAGAGAGAGAGAGAGCAACTTTATCCATGTCTTGTTTTTAATGGGCATCCAGATAACACATTCGCCATAAACCTCATTACCAGCGGAGGTATGGCTGCTGCCTTTTACGCCACAGATTAACGTTGTTGTAAACCCTAAACCCTAAACCCTAAACCCTAAACCCTAGTACCAGCAGTCGTATTAGCTGTGTTCTGGTGGAGACCTACTGGTGCTGCTGCTTCTCCTCATCCTGCGGCTGCTGCCGCTACGACTGCGATCACATGCTTGAACTCTGGCAACAAGGGGGTTTCCGAAAATAGGGGACCCTAATATAGTACCCTAAATAGTAGGATCCTTATTATAAGGACCCCCAAATAAGGTACCCTAATTTTCGGAAACTCCCACAATGTATATTCCGAGACTATTGCTCTTAGCTACTGTTGCTCTTGCTGCCGCATGAACGCTACCATCATTGTAATAAGATTTGAGAGCTCGGGCGAGTTCAGATACTACACTCAGAGATCCAAAACGGGTTGCGGGGTTTGGGGATTCAGGGCGTTGTAGCTCTACCACCCCTCAATATAAGGACTCACATTGTGAGGCTTTGGAGCCCAAAGGGCGATTTGAGCCTGGGGGTAGTCGCTTCAGTAGTTCTGACCCTGAGCCTGAGCTTTGGGGCCCGTTGTTCCAAAAGCCACAGATGAGGCTTAGGGTTTAGGGTTTAGGGTTTAGGGAAGGTTCAGGGGACTTGCTGTAGAGCATTCAGAAGGTTTGTCAGCACCATGAATAGAGCGGTTGCAACTATAGATAGCCCCAGTACCGGTAACAACCCGCATGCTGGTGGTACGTCCCATCACTCATGACCTGTGAAGTAAATCACATAGCACTGAAGCCCTCAGGCGAGTATTTGGCGCGAATTGCAGTCCTTGACCAAGAAACGAAAATCTAAACACTAAAAGCCCCAACACTCCCTAAACCCCAAAACAAAACTAAACAGGTATCCCCAACCCTAAACCCCATAAACCCACCAAAAAATCAGTACGCCCAAGGCCGCCGCGTAATCAGGGTCGATGTTGCATGTTTTCAGCCCCTTGCAAGCTGGAGCGGCTTAGGGTTTAGGGATGCAGCTAATAATGTAGGATCCTTATAATAACTAGACTATGGTTTGGGGTTCATTTCTAGTATAATAGACCGCCAAACCCTATTCTGAATATTCTGAAGGTCCCTACATTACAAGCCAAGCTGTAGGATTTAGGGTTTATCTGGACCCTATACGACCTCTCTTCTCTGGGTTCGTGCTTATGATTTATACTTTCAAGAGTTCTGAACAAGTAGGCTATTTGGGATTAGGGTAGGGTCAGGGCTTTAGGGTTTTAGTGAAGGAAGAAGTGCCAAATCCCCAAGGGTCCATGTGCTCTAAAACCTAAATAAACCCTAAACCCTA